CTACTTTTCTTTATAAATTTACTACACAAAGCTAAAGAAAATGAAAATTTTCAATATCTTTGCATTGTAAATATTATAAAGAGGGGGCAACTGTCATAACCTAATTTTGGCCCTTTGGCTTTTAATTTAATTTTTATAGGGTTTAAAATGAAAAATTAAAAGATCAGAGATTTATTTCGATGAAAAGTGTGATTTGTTAACTTCCGTGAAAATTAAGGACTACAATGTGCTTTTGTCATTCTATCTTTATCTTCAAGATAATCCCTATCTTCAAGATAATCTTTATCTTCGAGATAATTCTAATATTTAAGATAATAATAGTTATCCGCTTTCAAATTTGATTCTTAATCAAATTCAAACTTCAAAGGAGAGAATGAGTTTGATTGAGACTTGGTTTCCTACACGTGAAGGGACTCTGGCACTATAAATACAGATCTCAAAGGGGAAGGAAAAAAAAAAAGATGAACCCGAGAACAGAAAATAAAAAACTTAGATTGAAGGATGCAATTGAAAAATACAAAAAACTTATGAAAGAAAAAAGGATAATTTTAAAATTTAAATAATAATAATTGATACTAAAATATCCCAAACTAAAAGGACTATCTTGAAATCTTTAATGCCATGCACAAATTTTGATGGAGAAGAGAGAGAAAAAAAAACCCTAAAAAAAAAAAACCTTAAGAAGAGGCCATTACTAGAAACCTTAAAAGGGAGAAACATAAAAAAAAAGAGGGGGCGGCGAACCCTATATTAGCCGCTGCCGCCCCCCTCAACCTTTTTTTTTCTTCCCAGTCTCCCTCGACTTCGCCTTTAGCAGCCACACGCCTAGGTAATTTTCCTTCCTTTCTTACTAAAATAATTAACTGGTTACTGTGTTTGCTAGGGGTATGCTTGGAAAAAGAGGATAGAGAAAAGGAGGACTAGAGGGACACTAAGAGAAAAACAGAGGAAGAGAAAATAGCATCAAGTCAGCCCTTCACTGTCATTATCATCTTCAGTTGCAGCACCAGGTAAGTTGCTCTTTCCCCCCTTTCTTTTTTATTATATTC